AACGACCCTGCTATCCCATTCTCACAGGATGGAAACACTCTATTATTAGAGTCTCAATTCTTACCAGTGAGCAAACTCACCTAGAGTCAGTTTAAGGTTCAGACCTATGATGTCTTTTATCTGACAACACTTCTGACAGCAGATTTGGAAAGTTTGCTGAACACCAACAATTTTAAGGGCTACAACTCAGGATCAACACAGTGAAAGAGATGTAAAATGCAAGGGAAAGTGGCAGGGGAAGATTAATCAAGCACGGGGTACTGGTGAATAGAAGTGATTAAAGAAACTTCCCATTCTTGGTGTTCTCAAGAATAGCATACTGCAGATAAACACACCTTTCCCATTATGACTTTGATGGTGCTCTCTTATTTACAGATAACAATGCCAGACACAGACTCTGCAAATTCTTATTTTTTTGCCTCATAAACAATTACATGAACAGTTTGGTCTTCAATGATCAGAACAAAAATATGTGTTAACCAAGTTTTCTTAAGCTTTGGCTCTCTCTCCTACCTTGGGGAGGTGAATTTCCTCTCTCTCTAATTTATTTCTAAACAAACTATATTTTCTAATCTTAAAAAAAAAAAAAGACCAGGCTGACTTCAGGGTGAAATATAATCTGATCTGGGACCTGATTTTGCAACCCTCCATCCTGCCCTTCCCCTCCCGCCCTCTTTCTAATCTTGTTTGTTTCTCCCTATGACAGGAAACCCTTGTCTAAACTTGAGATGCTTAAAGATCTTATGCTTGGTGCTATCCCTCTATCGCAATTCCTTTAGAATAAAGTTGTTTTTAGCTTAAACTTAAACTTATTTTGAGAATCTCTAGAAATTGTCCCAGGACAATAACAATCACATTCTCAGAAAATTCATGACACAACCACTTCCATCCCAACCACATCTGCTTCTGAATCTCTAGCTTTCCAGGCCTCTGTCGATTCTTATAGTGGAAGGTTTCCCAGAAAGAACTGACTGGGCCTTCTATGACCTCCTTTTGCAGGATTGGGATTGAACTTTTCTTGGGAGTCTCTGGGTCCATGTCTCTGCTTCCCAGCTAAGGTTACTGGCCAAGGTTGTTCACTTAGTTTTAATCGAGAAAATACTCAGTGCTTAAAGCATACAGCAAAATCATTCAAACTCAGTCTTTATGTTTACAGAAGGACAGAAAATAGTAAGAAAAAGCATAAGAATCTCTCAGATGACATGTGATTTATCATTTCCAAAAAAATTATTGTACAAACAATCATAAGTGAACACGTCCAGAGTGGCCAAGTCCCATCCAATAAGATTTAAAATTACACTCCAACATTCAGGTAACAGGATATGAAACAGCTATTTATTGCTTGGACAGTCACAAACTGTTCATCTGCACAAGAGAGGAACTGATTTTCATGAACATTTGTAATTCACCATCTCATCTGCTACACTTGTGGAAATACACTCATTATTCTGCAGCCAGAATGAGAGACACATTGTCTCTATTTTTCCCAAGGAGTTTTCCTAAAGCTAAGATCTGGGATTCTGTGTGAAATCACACAGAGAAGACCTCAGAATCTTAGTACACTTACACTGCAAAATAAAAAGGTAAATAAGAATTTTTATGAATAAAATGCAAAAATGGCTATTTTTCTGGAATTTTCTGGAATTCTTTCTTGCCTCTTAGAAAATATTTGTTTTTTAAAATATTTCAAGCTTTCCAGGTAAAATGTTTTACAGTTGATAAAAACTGAATTGAAATAAGCAAACAAATCCTTTCTAAGAGACAAACCCAGAGAGGGGAAGTGCTGACTGGAACACAGATATTTCTGACTCTAGATCTCATCAGGCCATCCTATCACCGAAAGAGCCTCCCAGCTCCATCTTGCTCCCTGAAGAACTTCATTATTGCTCTCCCAGGAGACACTGCACTTGCCCTCCTGTGTGCCCAAGGTGCATTTTGCTTTGCAGATTTTAACACCACTTAATAGGAAGGATTTTCTTTTTTAGAGGGGAGGGGAGAGGGGGATAATTTTCCTCCTTTACAATTCTCAGAGAATCCAGAAGGTATGAATCATTTCTGTCTCTTCCCTTCAATACCAGCATCTGACTGGCTATCCAGCAATGTTTCGCCAAGGAATGAAGGCTGATGTTCGGGGAAGAAAATTTTATTGTCCCATGGTATCAGTTTTTCAGATGAAGAATATATCAGGGGACTCTTCTCAGCCCCAGAGAATCCAGTTGGTCCCTGAGAGGTTCCACTCCATACCTCAGGCTGCCCTCTGGGAGAAGATAACCTTGGAGCTGGTAGTCACTAGATACTACAAGAGACATGGCCACTGTAGGCATCTTGGTCATCCCCACAGTAGTAAAATACAGAACCAAGAAAAGCAAGGAGGATAGCTGAGAATACATCATCCCATAAATGTTCCAAAGGTGAACTTCAACCCAAAGACATTCTGGTGAGGTGTGCGCGTAGGGAAGATAAGGAGAGCCACAGACTTTTTACAGCAGATGTCAAGTGATTATTCTATGCTGTCCTTCTATGTGAAATCTTCAGAAACAAAAAAATACATATATTTTTTTAAAAACCACCCACTGCTCTGTAAAAAAAAAAAAAAATACTGTGTCTTTTTGAAAACCAAATAAAGGACAGAGGTATTTAACATCCAGGAATGTGGGAAAGGAACTGAAAATTTTAGGACTTACTAGAGGTCCTAACACAGGCTGTGGAAACAAGAGTTGTGTATTTGAGGTCTGTTGGGAGCCGGCCACGGAGGCCCACTGAGCATTAGGGATCAGGAAGGGCTGTTGACCACGAGACCACTAGGATGTGTTCGAGAGCTGTTGACCTATTCCCTCCCTCCTTTTCCATTTGGCACAAACTACCAAGAAGAGCTCCAGCTGGCTCTAACAGAAAACTCTGAGACCGGAACATACACAGCTAAACCTAGGAGTCTACTGTTCCCATTCCCCATGGCTTATAGTCTTTTGCTTTATCACAATTTAAGTTTGACTTTGAGTCACATCAAGGAGCCTTAGTGCAGGTCACAGGTTCTCTTGATGTGACCTTTAGAAATTTATAGATATAGGTTTTAGAAAATAGTTTATATAGATTAAGAAAATTTAGGTAACCATTTTATTATAGAAGTATGGTTAGTTCAGTTTGATTTAGGGGAGGCCAGTGAAGTTTGAATTAGGCCAGCTGGTGCTAGGAGAGTGTAACCATAGCAGCAATTGTTTTAATAAAAACTAGTTTGAATTAGTACATAATAGTGGAAGTTAATAATTCACTATGGTGGTTTTGGGTTTAGACATTGAGTGATGTTTATTCAAGATGATGTACTTGTAATACAATTAAGGGCACAGTGAGAAACTGGTCTGGGGAACATTAAGTTAGCATAAGATACAAAAAGACAATTTGTAGTTATTCTTCCTCATATTCTTCCTTATGTATGAAAGAACATTTGCTTGAGAGTGGGGGGTGTCCTTTGTGCACCTGGACCTGTTCATGTGAAAGGCACATGCTACTTTTGTTTCCTGTGATGATGACTTTGCAGAGTTTGGGGATAAAAGCCCTGGGATAGCATTCAATAAGGCGGCTTCTGGTCACCTGAGCAGGAGTCCAGTCTCTTTCTTTCTCCCCCCTTTCTTTCTCTTTGTATCTATCCCTCCAGTTTAAATCGCTGACGCCGTCACACCACCAGAGACCTCCAATCCCTGCAGGGGCAGGACCCCTGCAGAGGTCCTCCTTGCCATAAATTTGGAAAATAGGGAAAGGCCAGACAGGGTGGCCATGCCTGAAATCTCAGCACTTTGGAAGGCCAAGGCCAAGAACTGCTTGAGCCTAGGAGTTCGAGATCAGCCTAGGCAACACAGCGACACCTCATCTCTATCAAAAATTTTAAAAATTAGCTGGGTATGGTGGTGTGGCCCTGTAGCCCCAAGTACTCAGGAGGCTGAGGTAGAAGACTCATCTGAGGCCAGGAGGTCAAGGCTGCAGTGAGCCCTGATAGGTGATAGTGTGGCTGCAGACTGGCCACAGAATGAGAACTGGCCTTGTAAAAAAAAAAAAAGAGGAAAAAGAAAAGTGAAAAAACAGTCCCCTGTAGAGTGTTAAAATAATTAAATAGGGAGAAAATAGGGTTAAGTAACTGTAGCACCCTGAGATCCTACATAAGTAAACCTAACTCAAACAAGTTTCTGGTAAATTACTAAGGTAGAGAAAAGCAAAACTTAAGCTTCCTAAGTAACCACGAACTGCCAACAAAGTTGATTACATACTCATGAACAATCTAACTGGACAGTCCAGATAACTGATCAGTTATTGAAGGTGGTTTGCTTCCTCTTGAGCCTTTTAAAGCTTTCCTTCAAACCCCTCCTGTAGACCCCAAATCACAAGCCATGTTTGAGTACTCCATGATTCTTGAATCTGTTTGCTCAAATAAACTCTTTAAAATTTTGAAGGTGCCTCAGTTTAATTTTTAAAAGGAGAAGGAAAAGCTGGGGACTCACGGACCAAAGTTCCTCCCACGCAGAAGCCTGTCACACGAGTGGATCCTCCTCGGGACTCTCCCGTCGTCCCGCACAATCTAGGGGACGCGGCGCCGCCAGAGTAGCCCAGAGGAGGTTCTGGGTGGGAGGAGTCGCGCAGGGACTGGACACGGCACCGGAGTCCCGGCTGCCGGCCCAGCCCAACCCTATGCTGAAAGGGACCGAGGGCCGAGCTGCCGGCGAGGACGCGGGTTCAGACTCCGGGGCCGCCGGGAAGGCCGGTTCGGCCGTCCTCCCGGCTCCGGACGCCCTCCGTGCACTCACCATTTCCCGACTTCCGGGTGTCTCGGGTTCTCCCTAAGAACTTGCGGATCACAGGGCGACTAAAGCTGCGGCAGAGTCACCCGGGCCTGCCGGATCAGAAAACACGGGAAGTGGAGACGGGACCGGAGCTCCGGCTAGAGGACAGCCAAGGCCCCGCAGATCCCGGAAGCCGCGGCCTCCGCTCTCGGAGGCCCGCCCCGCACTTACCATTTCCAGTTTCCGGGTGTCTTGAGGCTTAGCTGTGGCGCTCCCGATACCTGCAGGTCACAGGGTGACAGGGTCTGTGGCAGAGAGACCTGAGCCTCCCGGAAAGTAGGAGAAGGAGGGGTGGACATGGGCGCAGTTGGGCGCTTGGGTGCCAGAGACAAAAGACCCCGCCAGATCCCGGAAGCCGCCCCTTCCTTTCCAGCTGCGTATCTGATTGGACAGTCCTCCACCCCAGCATCTCTGACTGGATAAGGCTCTAAGTCCCGCCCCCTCAGCCCTGAGTGACCGAAGATGGGATCAGAAGCTGAACTGAAAGACGCTGGAGTGACAAGTTTTTGGCTGCACCCTTTTCAAGCAGGTCTTACCCTCTACACAGGGACCTGGCGACGCCTGGGGAACATTTGTATTTAACTTTACACATAAGATTATATCCATTCATGAATTATACGTACGTATATACACAAACATACAGTACATAAATGTTATTCACAAATGGAAACAATATAATCATTATTTAAAATTTCAGAATTCATAATCTTCCAGGCCCACGGTCTTTTGAGAAGGCAGCCTTAGCTTTGAAAAAAAGGCAAATCCTCTTAGGCAACAGTATCCAATAAAAATAAAAATGTGAGACATGAGTGTCATTTTACATTTTCTAGTAGCAACATAAAACAGAAGGACACAGGTGAAATTGATTGTAATAATTTGTGACCCAATTATCCAAAATGTTATTTCAATATATAATTAATGTAAAATTATTAATGAAGCATATTTTTGATACTATATGTCCAAAACTCTATAAAGCTCCCAGCACATCTCAGTTCAGAAGAGTCACATTTCAGGTGCTCAGTAGCCCCAGGCCAGTGGTTGCCACTTTGAAGTGCACCTCACAGCTCTGGTTCCCTGATCTCTGGGAGGAAAAGAGTCTGACACCCCTTTTCTACCAGAGTTGACGGAACACTGCCTTCCTACCAACATCTCGCCTCAGGACCAAGGGTGGGAGAAAGGGTACACCGAGAGAGAGCAGAGGCTACAAGCAGAAAGTGTCCACAGGTAGACCACTGCTGTCCACCCTGGAAGGGGCCACTCACCTTCCAGGGATAAGACAGTGAGCAAAGGATGATGGGCCCCCAGGAGGAGTGAACACCATGTCTTTAAATCTGCCCATAGCTTTGACCACAATGATTTAGATGTGGAGGAAATAGATTAAAGGCAAAATTATAATTTTGCAGTTTGGACCTGGCTGTAATGGTCAGGCTATGATTGTCTGTTTTCTCCTGTGGTATGGGACATGTGTGAGTTTAGGCACAAAGCACATGCACACATGTCTGAATGCATTTCCATATAATTCAACATCATCTAACAAGAGATACAACATTAAAGGAGAAGGAAAGGAAATCAGTAACTATAGCATGCCTACTCTTTGCCAAGTAACTTGTAATCAACATGTCCTTGAATCCTGGAATTTAGTCTGTAATGGGTGTATGATTAGTTAGCTACTGCTGTATAACAAATCACTCCCAAATGTATTAGCTTGTAGTTGAGCTGTACAAGTCTTTAGGATGGTCTCAGCTCTGATCTGTGGATTAAGGGCTGCTATCATGAGAAAGGCCGAGTGGAAGCCACTAGAACTGCTCTGACAGATCATAGTAAAACTAAAGAACTATTACATTGCTGGGTGATTTGATAATTTAATGCCACCATCAATGACTTGAAGGATGCAGGGGTTGTGATTCATACCACATCTGCATTGAACTTGTTTATTGGGACTATGCAGATGAAGGACATATTTTGGAAAATGACAGTGGATAACAATAACCTATGCCATGTGTGGACTACAGTTTCAGTTGCTTCACCAGATGTGTTTCATTAATGAATAAACCAACACATCCCCTGTGACCTGGCGTTCAGCAGTTGATCCAGCAAATGTTTCTTGCTCTATACCTGTCCACAAGGCCCTCCAGAAGTAGTTAGCTTTCAGCTGGCAAGGTCAGCCACACACCTCCCTGTCTTATCTCAGGATATATTAACTCCCTAGAACTAGGTCATAATTTAGTTCACAGGACTTTATTTTTCCCTTCCCCAAGATATCATAGTGGTTCATGACATTGTTGGCTTTATGCTGTTTGGGCTTAATCAGCAAAAATTAGCAACTACCCTAGACTTATTAGTAAGGCATTCACATGTCAGAGAAAACAACAAAAATTCATGGGCCTTCTACCTCTAGGATTTTCAGAGATTCAGGGGTGTGGACCGTGTTAATATATCCTGTCTAAGGTAAACGAATTGTTGCATCTGTTTTATTCTGCAACTAGCAAAGAGGTACAATACCTAGTGGAATTCATTGGATTTGGGATCCAACATATTTCTCATCTAGATGTATAACTCTGGCTCATTTTCAAAATGACCAAAAAAGGCTGGTGGTTTTGAGTGGGACCCAGAACAAGAAACAGCTCTGTAATAGGTCAGGATTACCATGTGAGCTCCTCTACTACTTGGGCCAAATAAGCCAGTAGATAAAACTATCTTGAAGTTTCAGTGGCATAGAGGATTCTATTCAGTAAGGTAAACTTTACTGGGCCTGAAGACTACCAGGAGGCATAAGAAATTTACCTAAAGAAGTGGCCAAATACCTGTGGTTTGCACTTCTGCTACTCTCTTTTCTCTCCCAGCCTGCACCTGTGGGCTCACGGTAAGTTCTCTAAGATTGCTTGACAGAGTTTACTGAGGCCTGATTTGGCTAAGGACTTGCATGATATGCAGACACCATCCAATATTGAACAGTTCAGCACTACAGTCCCTCTCTTGGTCATCCATGAAAGACAGTGGCGAAATTCAATCCTCTCACTGGCAGAGCTTTCAACAGGGCACCAAGTTGTTATCTTTGCATGGAAAAAATAAAGGCCAGATATACAATTAGATACTAATGCATTGATCCCCTGTGAATGCTTAACATAGATAAACTCAAAAAAGGAGGAGGTTAATAATCAAGTGGATAGGATGTCCTGTTCTGAGGATACCAGTCAGCTTCTTTTCCCAGATCCCTCTGTCATTGTCCAGTGGATACATGAACACAGTGGCCATGGTAACAGGTATGGGGCTGGGCATGAGCTCAGCAACATGGACTTTCACTCACTAAGGCTGACCTGGCTATGGCCCTGACCAGACTATGGCCATTGCCTGATCTGCCAGCAGCAAAAATGAACATTGAGTGCCCATATGGCACTATTCCCTGGGGTTATTAGGTTGCCACTGAGTGGCAGGTTGATTTCATGGAATGTCTTCCCTCATGGAAGGGGCAGCATATTATTTGTACAGGAATAGACACTCTGGATATAAATTAGCCTTCCCTGTATGCAATGCTTCTGCCAAAACTGCCATTTGTGGGCCAGTTGAATGCCTTATTCACAGTTATGTTATGCTAAGGAACTCACTTTAGAGCCAAGGATGTGTGAAATTCATAGTCTTATCATGCTTTCCCCACCAAAAAGCAGCTTGCCTGATACAATGGTAGAGGGTATTTGAAACACTCAGTTACAGAGCCAGGTAGAAGGCAATACCTACAGGACTGAAACAAAATTCCACAAGGCTGAATATGCTCTGAATCAGCATTCAGAATATGGCATTATTTCTCTTATAGGCAGGATTCACAAGTCCAGAAATCATGGGTGAAAGGATATAAGATAAAGTCAATATACACTATGCACAGCCATTTTGACACTACCTAGTTCTGTCATAGTCTCTTAACATTACCTAGCTTACCTTCTAATCACTAGCCAAGGACAAAATCAATTTCTCAGAGGTAGTTATTGATAATTGTCTTACATCCCCCACCCCAACTTGTTTTGTACTGATTAGCTTTTCTATTCCTAGTATTTTCATAAGATACAAGTTAACCTTTAATCAGCCCCTCATGACTTTCATGACACAGATCCCATCAACATGGCAACTATCATGTGACTAATCCACCCATCTACCTGCCATCCATCACCTGATGTCAGTACCTGTGTTTACCTGTCCCCTTTGTGAGAACCTGGAACAGACCACCACCCAATCACCTTAACAACCTGCTCCCTATCAAAGGGAAGGTTTAAAATCATTCAACTTCAAGCAGCCATTTGCCTTGCTTTGTTAAACTCTGCTGTGGCTCTTTGAGCTATGGCTGCCTACTTCGTAGCTTCAGCCCCTTCCCCTATTTTGGAGTAATGAATCTCCTCTCTCTTGTTCTCTCTCTCTCTCTCTCTCTCATTTACTATCTAAATAAACTATATTTTCCCATCTAACTTCTGTGTAATTCTTTGCATCTTTCACGTGGCCCTGGATCGCACACACCCCTGGCAGTTCTGGCCTAACATTTTGGAGAACTCACTGGGATTGTGACCTAACAAAGGGATAGAAATGGGAGTGACACTAGTCACTGTTGCTCCTCTTGACTCAATAGCAAAATCTATGCTTTCTCTTCTCACAGCGTCATAGTCTGCTGGCCAGAGGTCTTGGTTCCAAAGGGAGAAATGATTCCACCAGGACACAAAACAATGGTGCCAATGAATGGGACATTATGACTGCCACTGCCTTTGGATGCCTTCAGACCTTTGAGTACATAAACCAGGAAGGGAGTTATGGTGTTAGGTGAGGTACTTGATGTAGACTACCAAAGAGAAATGGAACTAATATTAATGGAACAAATGCCCACTATGTAGAAAAGTGTATTCCTACAATATGGGAAAACTCTTAAAGCATCTCTTAATATTACCATGTCCTGTGATTAAGGTCAATGGAAAACTACAATAAACCAAATTCAGGTAGATCTAAAAATGACCCAGAACATTCATAAATGAAGTTTTGGATCACCTTGCCAGGTAAAGAATCAAGACCAGCTGAGTTTTTGTTTGTTTGTTTGTTTGTTTTTGAGTTGGAGTCTCATTCTGTCACCCAGACTGGAGTGCAGTGGCCGCTCCTGGTCACCGCAGCCTCGACCTGCTGGGCTCCGGCAATCCTTCCGCCTCAGCCTTCCAAGTAGCTGGAACTACAGGCGCACACTACCACACCTGGTTAATTTTTTGATTTATTGTAGAGATGAAGTCT